TCTACTTAAATAAATATAATCTTGGCATTTCCAGAAACATGTCTTTTGAAATTCACACTGTTATGAATTTCAATGTTAAAAAATCATTTCCCATCTCTTGATATTTATGGGCTTGTGGTGGTCATTTAAAACAAATTATTAAATTAAATTCTTAGCTCATGTGTTTCATATTCTACAAGACACATTGTAAAGCTAAGAATTGATAAATTTTGTGACAACTAAGAAACTTTAGTTATGTAGAGTACTAAAATTTCCTTTAGTTTTAAACCCTTTCCTGTATATAATCTGGAATTTCTGGGGTTTTTTTTTTTTGGTTATTTAAAGGTCATTTAAAATTTTTTTCTTTAAATTTTCAAAGTGTTTGTTTTTTTTGAAAAACACTTGAATTAATTTGCTTGACATGGAAAATCTGTACTTACCTAATATATACAATTTTTTAAATTTCCCTGCAAGTACATATCAAATATATATATGATACTTTCAAATTGTTTCTCCAAAAGGCTACAGCATGGCTCAAGAGGGCCCCTATCCCTGCATCTCCAGAAGCATAGAGAGTTAACCCTTTGAAACTTTTGCCAATAATATGGGTATGAATTTTCAAGAACAACTAAGTGTGTTGGACTTTGGGCAATTTAAAATCTAGCCAGGCTATATGGACATTTTAACTGTGTTCATTCTTCCAACCCATCATCACAGAAGGTCTTTCTATTTCATTGTGTCTTTTTCCATCTCTTTTAGTAGCACTTTGTTGTCTTCAGTATGGATGGGTCTTTCACATCTTTTATTAAGTTCATTCCTATGCATTTTGTTCTTTTTGTTGCAATTGTAGAAGGAATTGTTTTTTAAAGCTGAAAGCAACAAATGAACAAACATGACATGCAAAAAAACAAAACTCCGAGACACAGTCATATGGTGGTTGTCAAAGTGAAGGGGGTTGTGAGGTAGTAAAGGGTAAATGGGGTCAAACATGGTGATGAAAGATTTGACTTTGGGTGGTGGGCACACTGCAATATCTTGATAATGTATTATTGATTTATACACTTAAAACATATCTAATCTAC